CCCGCCTCCCCCTCGTCGTGAGGGGAGTCAAGTGGCTAAAGGCGCCGAGCAAAGGCGCCGACGTTGTTTGTCTTAAGCCTCGACGCCCTGTTGGGGCTCCTAGGCTGTTGTGTTCAGAATCTTTGCTCAAAATCGCAAGCCTCCACGGCCGTCCATAGAGAGCACCAGAATATTCCCTCCGGTGAATTTGATGGCTTTTCTACAGTTGCCTCTTCTCTATTTATCTTCAGGGATTTCGTGTTCAGTGTCAAGGGATAATCCGGGCAGCCGTTTCTCCGTCTCGGCGCCTCACCTCATTCTTAACTAGATTTACTCCTCTCCTCCATCCCCAGCCGCCCCTTAAATTCCTAACTAATGTGGCCAGTAACAAAGCATGACTTTGTCGCCAAGTGACAGCGCTGGTTGGCTTTCCCACGGCTTGGTTTCCTTTTTCTCCCCTTCTTTCTCGGCTGCTGAGAACCATCTTTCCTACCGCTTCTCATGCACGGTTACAGCCGCGGCAGCAGCGCGCTGTTTTTAAAACGGTCGCAATACCTTACTTTGAAACGCACTGCTCTGCCACACTTAAATCCAGTAAAACCTCTTCTGAACTGTTTGTTTCATTTGTGCTTTTAACACCGTCCAGCGTCACCCAACCTTCTTGTGACCATATAAAGTCTCCCTTCCAATGGTGTTATATTGGAACAGCCACCGAGAGATTTACAATTCTCTATCCCACGGATACAAAAAGTAATTAAAAAATAAAATAAAATAAAATAAAATAAAATAAAATAGGACAAGACTCCCCAAAATTGGGAAGTCCATGAACATATCTGGTGGTTTGAAAATGAGTTGTTGGTGCAATCACAAAATAATTGCTGAGACATGATTCTCCACTAGTCACTCAGGGGTTTTCCTCACTACAGAGATGAACTGCTATCCAGATTCATCCCTGAATCAGCAGAAAACAATACTGGCATATTAATTTCCTACTGACAAATTAATATGCCTCTCTTTCAAATCACTGCAGTTACTTGAGTTTCTTTCATCTCCAACTGACCCATTTTAGGGAAAGGCATAAGCTTTTGTGAGTTGCAGCTCGCTTCATCAGATACATAGAGTGGCTAGACCTGATGCAGCTCACGAAACTTGATGCCTTTCCATAAAATGGGTTACTTAGAAAAGATGCTACCAGCCTTTATTTATTTATTTATTTATTTATTTATTTGCCACTGTAAACCAACACAGC